CATCATTCTCCAATCTGCAGTGCACTACCTGCAACTGGACGGGGCAGAGGAGTCCCTCAAACTTCGCACTATCAGGCAGGAAGTGTCTGAGCTGCAGGGAGCCTCTGTGTCATTTGATGTGTCAGCACCAGGATGCCCTCAGGTGAGACATTACATCAGCCATGCCTTCACTGCTAAAGAGCTAGACCTTGGTAAGCAATCCTGCCCAATGGATCTTCTACAGCAGAAGTATGCCCACCTTGGAAACATTCCAGTTAAAGCATTCAAAGGTGTACAACCTATGCTTCTGATAGGCTCAGACAACCCACAGCTTATCACTCCAACATCGCCTATCAGGATGGGGCCCCTAGGCAGCCCTGTCGCTGTAAAAACAAAGCTTGGTTGGGCTATACAGGGACCAGCTACTTTCCTCCATCAGCCCGCTGAAGCCACCTGTCTTCACACCTCATCATTCCCTCTTCCCTCTCAAGACCTGCGACACAGCGTCGAAAGACTATGGCAGCTAGATGTACTGCCATTTCGGCCTGAAAGAGAAGTCAATCGATCTAAGCAAGACAAAGAGGCCTTGGAGACACTGGGGGAAAAGACACTCCTGGATCTCTCTGCACCGAGTCAGGGGAACCAAGGCCCTGACTTCCTCAAACAGGCACCAGAATGTTGGCCTATTCAGCCTTCACAGAGAACAAGTGAGGAAAGTGAGTTAAAGAAGTCTGCATTCTGCGCTCACGTTGCCGTCAACCTTTCCCCTCTGCCTATCACTGCACAACCCCAGACGTGGGCAGAATTGGTGCACACCACATACCAGTCTGAACACGGAGCCAACGGCCCATCCATGTCAGCCTCACAGCGCTTAGACACCGAAGTTCAACTCCTGAGACAAGCACAGCTTGACAGCTTTCCGGAAGAGGTACATTCTCTACAAACCGGGAAGGAGGTGAGGACAAGCAGCAAGCTGAGTAACCTGTCACCAGAATATGACGCCAGTCTGAGTCTCATCAGAGTAGGTGGACGTCTTCGCAGGGCAGAGAATCTAGCAGCTGACACTCTCCACCCCATCTTGCTGTCACCTGATCATCCTACCACCCAGCTCATCATAAAGGATTATGACCACCGCCTACTGCATCCGGGCCCAGAGCGCGTCTTTGCAGAGCTGCGACGGATTGTACTGGATACTGAAAGGCAGACAGGCAGTTCGTAAACATCAACGTCAGTGCCTGGAATGCAGAAAAATGGCGTGGAAACCCTGTCGTCCCTAAAATGGCTGACCTTCCAGCCGCCAGGCTGCGTCTGCACCAGCCGCCATTCTGGTCTACGGGTTGTCGACTGTTTCGGGCCCTTTAGCATCAAAATAGGCAGACGACAGGAAAAACGCTGGGGCATTATCTTCAAATGCCTCACTACCAGATGTGTTCACCTGGACCTGCTGGCCAGCATGGACACAGACTCTTTCCTTATGGCCCTGCGTCGCTTCATTTCACGACGAGGAAAGCCCTTTGAAATAATAAGTGACCAAGGTACAAACTTCAGAGGTGGAAACCGGGAGCTGCAAGAGGCTTTTGCTGCTCTGGAACCGTCTCTGCAAGAACAACTGAGTGAACAAAGTATCACTTTCCGCTTCAATCCCCCACTATCTCCACACTTCGGTGGCACCTGGGAGCGTGAGATTCGATCCGTCAAAGCTGCACTCCAGGTGATCCTAAAGGGTCAGATCGTGTCAGAGGAAGTGCTCCTCACCGTCCTCATCGAGGTGGAGGGAATCCTTAATTCAAAGCCACTCGGCTACGTATCATCTGACATCGCAGACGAGGATCCCATTACTCCAAATCTGCTGCTCATGGGGCGGCGAGATGCCTCTCTCCCTCAGGCAACATATGGCCCAGGAGAGCTTCTCGGCCGACGTAAATGGAGACACAGCCAAGTCATCGCAGACCAGTTTTGGACTCAGTTCACACAATGTTACCTCCCAAGCCTGCAGCAGCGTCAGAAATGGCAGCAGTCCACTCCGGATTTAACTGTGGGGCAAGTGGTAATGGTTGTAGACGCACAACTTCCACGTGCTCTTTGGCCTGTAGGCAGGGTTAAACAGGTGATGCCGAGCCCTGATGGAAGGATCAGGGTGGCAGACGTGTCTATAGGAAAGCACACCTATCGTCGTTCGGTCGCTAAGCTTATCATACTGCCGGAGATGCCTGCTGAGGATAATACATCATAGTCACAGGGATTTTTACTGGATCCTAATGTGCTGCACACATTAGGGGGCGGCTGTATAAAACTCCCCCATTACTTGGACTATTCCTTGCACCCCCTAACATAGGCCCGAATGGTTTCAACCATGTTGCAGTACTAACGTGCACTTGTTGTCGTAGCAGGATTGCACGGACAATAGTAGCATCGGACAATTGAGAGTGTTGTTAACTTTGTGTGTTGTGGACATGCGTGTGCGTGCATGAAAATGTAAGTGCATATATTCTTGCCTAGTTCTGTTATTTGTGGGTTAATGTTCATAATACAGAGCTTACTCTGTAATAGAAGGCAGTTAGCAATAGCCGCTAACTTTGCCATGCTGACTATGGGACAGCACGAGGTGCAGCCGCACAAGGCACGCTCCCTCACACTGCATAATGAACAATGTTACGCCAAGTTGATGCAGGGGCCAATGTATGCAGTGTTCTTTATATTGTAGTCATTATAGAGACTTCATTGTGTGCATTCCTGTATGTTGTTCATGCGTGATTGTTTATAATAGTTAATTACTTATAAGTAACGTGTCATTTCAATCGCCATTCTGTTGCGGCCTTTGGCCAATAGAGGGCAGCATAGGCCAGCTAATTGTACCATTTCTTTATCCACTTAATTTACTGTGTAACAATGTCACTGGTCATTATCCCTCTATGATACATGTTTATTCATATCTGTTTATCTTTATATTACAGATACCACACCCATCCAATTACCATTGCATGTACCATTCACTACCCTGGACAATTAATAAAGTACTTAAATTGGAACAGCCTGTGGAAAGCCGTTCTTCCTCACACATCTGTCGCCGACACCTTCTAACAGAGGACAGGAAAATCTAGCTGCAGCACGACCCGTATATTTTGCACGCCGTGTTCTCAACAACTACAATGTAGGTTATTGTAGCACTGCACAGGTGTTTTTTGCCAAATTGCAGTGCATCTGTTTGCAAAATGGTACGTTTCAAAGCTGTAATCAGTGCTTGAATTGGAATAAAAAAGGTGCCAGTACTCTAAATCAGCAACTGTTTCAAGTCAAAAACAAGTATTTGGCTCAAAGTCATAGTATATCCTATAATGCTGGTGGGTTTGTCTCTTTACTGTATATTTTAGAAAGGCTCACTGTACTTAAACAAAATGACTCAGGGTGCATCTGAGATTAGAGGGGGTGCAGTGGTAAAGTGCTATTTTTATAAGTGGGGAGTGGACCTGACACCCTCTAGGGGGGTCCGGGGGCATGCTCCCCCGGGAAGATTTTTTTTAAATATTGAAGTTAAAAGCATCAATCTGGTGCACTTTGAGAGCAAAATGAAGAGATACATGGATACCTCTCAACATCCATATGAAACAGAACTGTAAACAGATTTACTTTTTCTTTATGGATATAAAAGAAAGTAAAGCCTGACTCCTACTGGTGGCTGGTTAAATGACTCCTCGTCCCTGAGTACACTCATCTTTCAGCAGGAAAGGAGAGAGGGAATCAGGAGCTGCCAGGGGGGACACAGGGGAATCCAGACGGTGGTTTATGGGATGCAGAACATGGAGCAGGAGGCTCGAGAAGGCTCCCCGTCAGACACAATTTCTAACACAGGCACAGCATTTTCTGTATTTGCAGTCGGCTCCTTGTCCGGCGACAACCGCTGTCTTTTCGGACAAATATGCCCAGTGTACCTGGCGGCCGGCGGCATCTCATGACACATCTAGGTACACTGGGCATATTTGCGTCATGACGTGCCGCCGGCGGCCGGCGGCTGAGTACCAGTGTTGTGTCAAATGATGCACCCCCATAATGAAATGCCCCCCTTGTCACGGGAACTCACATTTCTAAATGACACGTTTACACCTTAAAACGATGTTTAAAACGAAAAGTAAAACGTTCAGGGTTTTTATTAATGGTCATTTTCAGACTGTGAGTTGTTTAGCGGTAGCTCATATAGTCTTGATTCTTGTGGTTAAACTTTTCGCTCCGTATTTGATGGTAGTGGTGTCGAAATTCATTCGTCACTTCCTTTTCAGTTTTTTTTTTTTTTAATCTTGTTGTTTTGTTATTATTGTTACGTCCTGTCTGTATACACGTGCTTTAAAATGTATTGTTTAATTTCACATATTTGTCATATAATAATCAAAATATATATTTACAAATGTTACATAGTCTTTGTCAGCATGTTTTTGCCACGTTATGCACCCCTTGCTATCTTACATAATAAAAGTGTCACATTCATGAAACTTGCTCCATTTATTGGTACTAGTCCTACAACTATACCCTGAAAAATGCTTGAGGGTGGGATTAATACAAACATCTTTTTGGGTGGGGTGCATTTTATGACAGGCCTGGTTATCACAATATGCCCCCCCCTTGCAATCTTACAAAATAAAAGTGTCACATACATGAAACTTGCTCCATTCATTGGTGAGTACCGGCCCAATTCAAGCACTGGCTGTAATGTAGGCCTTCACAACACCGAGACAATAAGTCTGTCCATAAACTGACAGCTAGATATTATCCCATATTAACACTTTGCAAATGCGCGGAAGTGAACAGATTAATGTAGCATAATCGGAAACCATGCATGTAGGTTATTGTAGCACTGCACAGGTGTTTTCGCCAAACTGCAGTGCATTTGTTTGCAAAATGTAATGTTTCGTAGGCTTACACAACACCGAGACAATAACTCTGCAAAATGAAAGATGTGCAATTACCCCATCTAGTGGCTCATAATGACTTTACACTCTAAATGAAAGCAGTAAAGGAGATTACATCAATTGAAAAAAAAATGCTTTTTGTGTTTATGTTTTATTGAATTCAACAACGTAACAAAAACACAGGTGCACGAGTTTGAAATTTCTTTCACAGAAAGTGTGTGGTATTGAAGTCTTCATTTGGAGCTGGTGTACTTTGTGACAGCCTTGGTTCCCTCGGACACCGCGTGCTTGGCCAGCTCCCCGGGCAGCAGCAGCCGGACGGCGGTCTGCACCTCTCTGCTGGTGATGGTGGACCGCTTGTTGTACTGAGTCAGTCGCGAGGCCTCTGTGGCGATCCTCTCAAACAGGTCATTCACGAAGGAGTTCATTATGCTCATCGCTCTGCTGGAAATCCCTGTGTCCGGATGCACCTTTGACGGCAGAGAGGAAAAGCTGGGTTACTCAATTGGAACATCGAAGCATTTACACGTTTTATTTTTGTTCCACCCACCTGTTTCAAAACTTTATAGATGTACATCGCGTAAGTCTCTCTTCTTTTGGCCTTTCGTTTGCCCTTTTTCTCTCCCGGGCCCTTCCCCTTCTTTTTAGATGCATCATTAGTCATTTTAAACAGTGTCTAACTACTTTGACAATCTTAAGTAAGTCAAACGCTTTATCGAGTGCTTTAGGAATTGTTTCCTAGTTTTCGGGCTCGAGGACGGCTGTTTATGTAGCGTGCGTTAATTAGTGACTGATTGGACCCACCTGTTTAATGGTTTGTTGAGCGGATAGGCTTTCGCTCCATATTAAAATAACATTGATGACAACAATAAGGAATGAAAGTGTAGCTAAGAGCCCTCACAAACATACGTTTTAATCTAGGCAGGTAATGTTGTATTCCTTTTTTTACTGCAGTACTTTTTTACTATGGTAATAAAGTGATAAATGGAGGTAGAGTTTTACCATTGCACATACTATTGGTGTCCACTGGGTGGCACACTTGTACCAATATTCAAGCTGCATTCAATCTCTCAATTAGAGTTGTCTACCTGTCCATTGGAATCCATTGCAATCGTCGATGTATCTTGTAGCTAACACAATATATTAGCGCTAGGGTTATATTCATATGAAATAGCATTTACAGGACACACTTTTGAGTTGCATTATAGTCACCATGAGTTTTATGGTAAGCACGCTCTTGATCCACATGTAGGCCTGCATTGTTTCCTGCTGATAGATTAATGTAAACTTGTTAAAAAATGTATGATGTTATCGTCAAGGTTGGATTAAAGCAGGACCAGACACCCGGCCCAAAACCCCCAGGTTAATTTTGTTTGATTAAGTATGTGGAAGCGGATATGTATGGCACTATAAGTGTCCTGAAGCTTTCTAATATACTAGAGTGCTGTTTTAAATCCCTAGCGTTTAAATTCAGATTACATTTACTTGGTGCTGTAAGTATTTTGTGTTTTAACAAGCTCCTAATTTGGACAAACTGCAAAGCAATTGAATAGTAACATTATAGCTTTGTGCTAATGATTGTTTTTAGTTTTCCTTGTCAATTTATAATGTAGGCATATCCTCATCACATTCAGATACCAGAAACATTTTTATATTATTTATACAATGTACTATCTCTTATGGCTAATAGGTGCACAATGCTTGTCACTGGTAGTAGAGGGAGCATCTGCCCTCTCGCTGTACTGTAATGCATTTCAGGTATAGTTGGTGTCTCTGTGAGGTGTAATTGTACATAAGGGGGTAATTGTTTGGTTATTAATGGTATGTTTACATCCCCAAGCTTGCATTTGTCCTGCACGCTTTTATATGTAGAACACCTTGACACATTTTAGATTTACATGCTGATAATTGGGATAAAAAAGTGTCAGCTTCAGGCCTGTATTTTCTTTGTTCAGATATTCTGTGATGTTTTTTCCGATAAAAGGTGTATCATCTTAATTGGCCATTGGTGTGTTGTTTAATATCGCAATTGAGGAATAAATATGACAGCATACTGACTTTGACCACTAATGCGTTTTGTCTTAAAGCAGAGTATTCCCAAAATCTGACATTGTTATTGTATTTTTTGTATTTTAGTGGAACATTATCTCCTGTATATACATTTCAATAAGTAGAAATGTCCTCATGCTGACACACCAGTTAAATAATATGCTCAGCCAACAACATAAGTCAGAGATGTATCTATCTTGTGTGATGTGTGTGTTTCATCTATATTTAATATAGGCCTGCTATGTCATAGCCTCTGTATCATATAATCTGTTTGATTGATGCGACCCAAAGCAGTTGAAGAAACTGAGCACAAAGACTTCCTTTATATCATACAAACACATCGCTCTGAAGCACTTTATCATGTTCATTCTTTACTATCATACCATAGCCAGGGACAGTTGTTTTTAAACATGTAACTGAGGTGTAAATACATTTTTAGATACATCAATCAAATAAATAAAATCATGGTAGGTAAGCAGTGAATCTGAGAAGAAATGTTGCAAATTCACTCTGTATTAAATAGGCTATTCAGGTTTTAGAATGTGAAGTAAATTGACAGTAGTGTTAAGACAGACACCTGGGAGCTATATCAGTGGAGCATTGCTATAACAACATCTTCATGGAAACAATTTGGGTTTGAAATAGCTCTGGACTCATTACTGAAAACCTTCAGCAATTCACAGTTATTTATATACATTTTAACAAAACAAGATGTAAAGAGTCGTATTTCTATCTGTCACTTATAATGCACTACACAGCTTTGCTCACAACAATTATTAATATTATTCAGCCTAAGCAATATGACATTTTTCAGTGTGCAGTACAGAGATCCTTCTCTTTTACATAAAAGGTTTTTCCTGTAGAAAGGAGGACACACAGTAGGTACACAGGAGGTACAGTCAACATGTGTGTCCGGCAGTGGCGAGCCGTGAGCTTTATACCTAGGCCCTCTGACCCCCACCAATTCCCTTGAAAAAAGAAAAAAAAAAGAGTTATTACGTCACAGCGTATACTTCAGCGGAATATCAAAACAACGGCCCAGGGTGCAAAACGCATCAATACCCCTTTCACACCGGCGCTTTTCCAGCTCCTGCTGGGAGCTAGAGCCTGAAAAGCGCCGGTTTTTCCTGTTCACACCGCAGCGGCGGCGCGTCATAGCTCCGGAATGCGGTTCACTTCCAGCTCCAAAAAATTGTCGGTCCAGAGGCAAGAGCTTCGGAGCTATGACGCGGCGTCGCTTACGTCTCTTACGTCGAGGCGTGCAGGAAACCTTACTTTGACCATCCGTTCGCTGTTATTGATCATTGTGGAGATACATGGGCTATACAGGTTGTCATGTCCGACTATCAGAAGTAGAATCATAATGAAAAATACGCCGGTAAAATGTGCCTATAGGAAACGGCTTAGCAAGTAGTCAGTTTAGCTTCGGTTGCTATGCTAACATCACCCATGTTATACCAGAGAAACTTTCATAACAGCGTTGTGATGCCAAACAGCGTCAATTCAGACTGACACACATTCACTTAAGGGGAACTGGGGATATGTATCAGCTGCTTGTGTGACAGTCAGACAGTGAATACTTTAGAGCCGTGTGAGCTAACCCGGAGCTAACGGGAGAATAAAACTCCCGTGGAAGAGCAGCACTGCAGCGGTCGGTAAATGCCGCTGAAACACATTAATAAACAATGAACCACGGCACTCTGGAGAAAAGTATAAGGTTGGAGAAGTCGTTATTTAATTTAATCTGGCTTCGTATGATTAAAAGCAACACGATCATCGACCCGATGCAGTCCCCGGCCCGTTGTTGTTGTGGGAGAAAATCAGCGACGTAAACTGTGACGTCATGACGCAGCAGCGGCAGCTCTGTGCAGTGTGAACAGAGCGGGAGCTGAAAAGGGAAACGGGAGCTGAACCAGAAAAGCTCTCGCGAGGAGCTAGAAAGTGAAAAGCGCTGGTGTGAAAGCCGCAAATGACAGCGACCCTCTACCACACAAAACAACACCTGTGAACCCAATTTGTGTTCTTGACATTGAAAATGATATTGCATTGTGTTTGTTACTTTCGTTGCACTTAATGTCTTAAGTGTAATTTGGCATCCCTTTATTTTGAAGGCGAGTTCACGCTGTTGACAGGAAGTTGTTGTTGCTATGGAAACAAGAAAAGTTTCACAGCGGGCGGAACTTGTCATAAAGTCCGCGATAATAAAACCCACCCATTTAGAGGGAAGATATGATTGGTCAATTGTACTGTCATTTGACATTACTCTCTCGTTCAGTTACTATAGCGGGCCCTCTGTGAATCGCAGAGAGGGCCAGACGAGCTTTTTTCATGTAACCCTTCACATTCAACAGAGACTGAACAGGCAGATTCGAAGGATTTATTTCTTTGGAAATGTTATTTTAAATACAATTAAATCAAGTTTTTTTTTCGGTAAAACTAATGAAAAATATAACAAAAATAATATTAAAAAATATATATTTAAAAAATATATATGTTTTTTAAATGTTTTTAAATATTATTTTTTTGAATATCTTAGGCCCTCACAGAGGGCCTAGAGGGCCCTGACGGCTCGCCACTGGTGTCCGGGCGGAACAATACCCCCAACCTGTAGTTCCATGAGTGAATTATGATAGACAGTGATCACTACACAAGCCCCCCCAGAATTCACAATACACAATCCTCGCGTCCAGGAGGGGCCGAGGAGGGTGGGGCCGCGCCATGGAACGGGCCGTCGGAAGGAGGCCGCAGGAGAGATCAAAAAACAAGTGGGCGAAATTGTGAGAGGATCCACACGAGGTCAACCAGACTTGGTCGAACCTCCTCTCCCGCACCACCAAAAAGGGTTAACAGTCAGATGTTAACAGATGGACGAAGTCAGCCATTAGCCGCTAGCCGTTAGCTGTCAGTCATCGTTAGCTGCTAGCCGTTGTTAGCCGTTAGTCGTCGTTGTTAGCCGTTAGCTGTTAGCCGTTGTCGACGGCCGTTAGCTGCAAGCCGGTAGCCGTTATTCGATGTCGTCGGCCTCGGAGCCTCTGCTAGGCGGCGTGCCCCTACCAGGGAAGGTGCCGCTGCGTGTCGGGGCCAGCACCTCAGGGGTAAATCGCCGGGCGGCCAGGAAGAACCAGTCAGCTTCTTCGGCTAAAGCGCGGGGCTCAACACTAGCTGTGTTAGCGAGCGCTGGCTGGACATGCGGCCGCATGATCCGAAGAAACAGTTCCATGTGCAAGAAGTCGGGTTCTTCCGTACCTAGCAGGTCGTGTATCGTCTCCATGTGGTCGGAAGGCTCGCCGTCTCCCAGTGCCGAAACGATGTGGGAATGGCGAGCGTCCTCGGCCATTCCGCGGAGGGCGCACCGAGCCTCAGTCTGTGTGCACGAGGCAGCCACGGACGTCTCCAAAAATCTCCGGCAGTTTGAGAAAAACGGCGTTTCTAGCCATGTTCGGTCCAGTCTCGGAAACTTCTGCGAGACTTATGTCAGGGTCACCAGTGTTGTGCCGAGAGAAGGGAGTCGGAGGCGATGCATCGAAGGTGCAAAGTTGGCTTTATTGAGCAGCAGAAAAGCACATGTTGTCCGGTTGCAGTCCGGGAAGAGAAGGGAAGAAGAGAAAGGAGGACACACAGTAGGTACAGTCAACATGTGTGTCCGTGCGGAACAATACCCCCAACCTGTAGTTCCATGAGTGAATTATGATAAACAGTGATCACTACTGTATAAAACTCCCCCATTACTTGGACTATTCCT